TTTTTTTTTTTTTTGTACTGGGGATTGAACTCAGGACCTTCCACTTGCCAGGCATGCGGCAGCACCACTGATCTAAATCCCCAGCCCCTGAAAGCTATACTTCTGTTTATTAAAGTTTAGAAAAAGTATAACAAATCTTTAGCTATTTAAATGATGGCACCAGTGAATAAATTGACATATCAAGGCCAAATCTACATCATGCAACTGACATACACAAATATTAAACTTTGTGTTTAATATTTAATATTTAAAGCTTTCCCCATATTTCAGTATTAACAGCTCAAATATGCAAATTAGTAAGAAAATAATAATTTTGAAGAGTTTTAAAAAATATTTCTGTTGTAACCCATTATTGCTTTCTAAAATAAATTCGATGTTCACTCACCAGAATTCTCCACAATATCTACTCCATTAGTTGTTATAGGTGGCACACAAATATTTGTGATTTCCTGCAAATCATATTAAAAAAATAAAAGCACTTAAAAGTGAACCAGATTTCAGAGTGATGCAGATGAACTGTGGCCCATTTGCAAGTGATAACATTACAGTAAGTCCAGATTCTTGCGAGAGTCTCTGTTCGCAGGACTTGAAATAGGAAGAGTTAAAACCTTAAAAGCTACATCCACTTCAGCACTGCAGCACTGATATTCAACTAAAGGTCAGTAAGTCTTCTTTTAAAATCCCTTTACCCCTTCTCTTTTTTAGTATATGTGCTGCCAAAGTGAGCACTACCCCTTCTCTTGTCTCAGTGTACACATGATCTTAGCCAAAAGGCCGAGAAGTGATCTTGTCTCAATGTAAATACAATTTTTTCTGTATATGATTGCAATAATCTTTCACAAACTGAATCCTCACCTTGTCCTCAGGTTGAGCTCCTTCAATTCCCCACTGATGAATTGTTCCTTCTGAACCATCAGGAACTGGAATAAAACCACCTGCCACTCCCCCAGTGGGACCCCTTTGACAGTCACAGGTTAGCAGTAGGAGAGGGACCACTAGCAGAAAAACAAGGCAAAATATCACATTTTTATCATCTGGAAGCTATCTGATATGACAAAGGTCAGAGACATTACAATGAATACTTAAAACACTTGAAAATTCCTAGTATAAAGTAAAATTAATTTCTACATAAAACATTGAGTGTGCTATAATCACTCTTTGTTCAGTTAACTCATTCATTATTTGGAGGGATAAATTATGTCTTCATAGACTATCATAGTATCAATAACTGAAGTAACTTAGGTAAAGAACAGTAGTGAACACTATGAAGATTTGCTAGTATTGTTAGGGTGAGCAACATTAGTTATGTAAATCAGGTGAGTCCTGTATGTAGTATGAAAAAGATTAGACCAAGTGCACAAAACAGATTTGACATAATGAATGGAGAATCTCGAAATTTAATCTAATGCTCATGTAAATGACACTTTATTGCCATGTTCAATTCTGTAATTTTATTAAATGTGTGGGAAAGATTATTTGGAAGGGTGATGAATGCAAACCTGGGTGGTCAGTATTTTTAGACAGGTAAATTTTCAGAAATCCTATCATTATATGTGCAAAGTATATAGGTATTTGATATATATCTATATCTATATCTGATGTATATCAGAAAGTTTTTCAAAGTGTTGAGTGTATTTTTAGTCTAAAATACATTTTGTGTTGTTCACAAAATTCAAAACATGGCATTCTGCAAATGATAGGATCACATGAAGGAAATATTATTGTGGAATCACAAGATATTTCCTCTGACTGCCATTTGGAGTCATATTCCCATGTGTGCAGTGGTCTACAAGACAATCATATAATTCACAATTAAACATTTCAAAATCAAACTCATTACTGCCACATTATATATCAGTGCCTCGGCAGACAGCGGAACCACTGAGCTAAATCCCTGGCCCCATTGCTTCACTGACTCTTAAACATGACTCCTGGCTGTAATCTGGGTTTATTATCCAATCTTCCCACTTGTAACTCTCTTAGTCTAATCAAGCTCCTATAACAAAAAATACCTTTATGTGGGTAATTTTTTTTTTTTGTCCTGGGGATCGAACTTGGGACCTTACGCTTTTGAGGCAGGCTGCAGAACCACTGAGCTAAATCCCCGGCCCAATATGGATAATTTATACATAATAGAAATGTATAGCTTACAGCTCTAGAAATCAAAATGCCATCATATTTGTTGTCTGCTTATGTGAGGGCCATTCCTCATACATGGCATCTTTTATGTGCTCTCATATTGGCAAAAGGGCGGGGGCTGAGACACCTCAAACATCTTTATAAGGGCACTTCTTATTCACAGTGTGTGCCTCAGGAACAAATCACCTCCCAAGAGTGCTTCTCTTTGATAACACTGTAGTTGCAACTAGGTTTCATTATGTGGCTGGGGGCCCATGTTCAGATCATAGCACATAGTCCCCAATCTTGTTGAAGTGCTATGGTAATGTTCTACACACTTACTTTTTCCTTTCTAGTCTCATGGTGTAGCTCTAAAAGGGTCTCTACCATCTCTCCTTAAGTATTACAATAACCTCCCAAGTGTGCTTCCTTTAGTAGTTTACAGCCCATGCTGCCGCCAGATTATCTCTCTGAAATACATTTTTTTTATATTCACAGATCATGCTAGTGTTTTATTCAAATACCTGTATCAATTCTTTTTCACAGCTTAAAATACAGACACTATGACATGTGTGTGTAAGCCCTCTCTAACTAGTTCCAGAGAGAGAAATACGGCATGTGTGTGGGAAGCCACTAGCTGTAGCTATAACAATTTATTTCTCTTTTTAAAAAAAGCAAACTGAGCAAATATGGGAAAACATTAATATTTGTTAAGTCTGAGGGATGGTTATGCATATGCTTATAAGTAATTTGCTGTACTTTTTGATGGTTTTAAAATATTACATAAATTTAAAAGAAATTTAAAGGAGTTGTAATAGAATATATCATTATGAAAATTTGTTTTAACCTTAAAAGTCTATGTTTCTATAATATGGGGAAGTAATTGTAAATTTGTCAAGGATTTTTGTTTATATAAGAATTTGTCTCTAAGTTTTTTAAAAAGAGGCCTGTTATATTTAATATACTATTTAATGCATAGGATTTTTATTCAAGTGTAATTTTCCAGAAACCTGTCTGTTGAATAAAATAAATTTCTTGAAAAATGGTACATGTGTGTAGTTTACCTAAGTGTGTTCAGTAAGACATTTTATTAAGTGTAAAATCTTAAAGGGAATGTGTGTTCAGGTGGTAGGCTCTTTTTTGAGGAAACGCTAGAGTAGAAAATAATTTCTAGGAGACTATGGTCTATCAAGCTAAAAGCCTACGATATCCTATCTTATTTTCTCTGAGTTTATTTGACCATGGCTCTCTTTCTTTTAGACTCTCATGAGACTGAAATATGGAGAAAACACCTGAGTACCACACATGGACTGAGAATGTGGCTCTGTGGTAGAACACTTGCCTAGCAGGCTTGATCCCTAGCATTGAAAAATTAAAATGAAGTGTCACACTAGAGGATAAAGCCATTGTTTTGACCATGAACATTACTGGTAGTATGTGAAGCACCTTCATGATTTCTTTTTCTCCCTCTTGATTCTCATGTGCTGTTCTAAATATCTGCATATATGGCTTTGCTATATTCATATATATTATTAGCAAGTGATAAGTCCAACATTTCAGATTCTTTCTGAAAGATGCCATTGCCCCCCAGCTTTGCCTACAGAATGACCAGAGAGTGGCTCTTCCCACATTTCACAGATGAGCATGGGCAGTGTAAAGGCCATTGTGAATGATGCCATGCCGTGGACAGAGGTGACAGGTTGGCATACTCACACAGCAGCAGCAAAAGCCCGAGAAGGAGCAAACCGATGGCGTCGGGCCCCAGCCTGGACAGCTGCCTCTGGGGCTGGATATGAGGGTCAGTGTTTGAACTTCTACAGGAGCCCCTGTCGTTACACTGACAGACCGTCAGGGTCAAGGTCTCCGAGGACTCGCAATTCCGGTCCTTGTTGCCTGTAACCGTGAGGGGGACTCTGTACACTCCAGGAGATATCTGCTGCTGGGCTCTTACCAGTGCCGAGGTAGCTGCAGGGAAGAATCATGCAAATCAACACAAGGACAAGGAGTCTTTGGCCCTAAAGCTAATTAATTTTGATAACAAAGCTCTGTCACAAACAGCAGGGCTGATATGGGCTGAGCAGTGAAGAGGACTGGAAGAGGTTCTCTTGGGTCAATCTGTCTGCACCCTCCTTCTTGTCCCCTGTGACACAGAGAAGCCCAGCATTCTTTGTCCAGAAGTCTCAAGTCTCACCAAGAGGATGGCAGGTGGATATCATGGAAATACAGGACCTCCTGTCCCAGACTTTACCTCTCTCCTGAGTGACTGCCCCAACTTTCAGATGCACATGTCCCCCTGAGTGTACGCCTTCCCCTGAACTCCATGCTCTGGGTCTGACTTCACAAGACTGAGTTCCAACTATGGCTGCTGCTACCTTGACAGCTCCTCTTGGTTCTCTTTCCATGAGCTGAAGGCCCGTTGGGTGCGATTCCCAGTGGTGTGGCCTGCTGCCCTTCCAACTCCTCCGCGTCAGTTATTCCTTCTTCTCCATTGCTATGTCGCCCCTTTCTAAGTTGGATCCAGCACAGTATTGTGTTGTTTGAATCATTCATGACCCCCTCATGCCTCTTGACACTGCCCAGTCCAACCTCTGTGATCTTGCCCAGCCTCACTGGGGTGGATTCCATGCTGGCCCTCTCTATTTAGCATCCTCTTCAATGGCCGTGTGTCTGGTAAATTCCTTTGGAAACAAACACTACATGTACAGCATGGAGCTCGATCCTTAACCAGGATCAGAAAGGACCAAGAACAGGAGGCCCAAGGGGACAAAATCTCTTTGGAGACTCTGACAATGGCTGATAACTATGATTGGAGGGCTCCATGGAGCACATCCATGAGAGGAAGCAAGACAGGTGCGGGAAAGAGGTAGGGGAAATGAATGAGTTTTCAAAGGATTTGAAGTAGCCCAATGGTCACTATAAAATCCAGGAAGGGAGAAGACTTACTAAGTCCTACGTCATTTCTCTGAGACTTCTAGAAACCATAGAAGATGTAAAATGAGCATGATAACAGCTAGGGGAAAAGGATTAGATTTCTTGCATTGGCTAAGGGTTTAGAAATTGCAATCCACAATGCTGTTAAGGACAGACAGGTGTCCCCATCTATGACCCCCGCTTAGCCCTACTTCTCCAAGGCTTAGTGTCTGCTCACAGTCTGTCCTGCAAGGAAAACGTTATGTACCTAGAAATCTAGACAGCTCTCTGATAAAACAGTGCCTCATTCTAATCTTTTTTTCTATTGGGGAGGTAGAAATAAACATACTAAAAATACAAAATTATTGAATGAAAGCCAGAAAATATTATGTGGTACCAACATTGTATCTTGTCATTCCTTTTCTGAAGAGAAGAGGAATTCACAAGGCTAGGATTGCATTTTTATTGCAAAGAATTTTTTCAATTATTCTTGGAAAGGACTCGCCCTCAAATGAGTTCTTATTCTTCTGGAAATATAAAGAAGCGGCATCTTTCATGTATGGAAGCAACTTCTGTTTTACTCACCATTGAGAGTTGTGATTCTCCACACAACTGGCAACTTTAGAGGTTGCTCCTCCACTGAAAATGTGTAGGAACCCATGTATCTGTCTCTTTCCAGGGCTCTTGCTGACACAACCACGGAAGGTGACGAACTACAGATTTCACCTTTTTCCAGGACAACTGGTGGACAATTGTCATTAAATCCAGGTACTTCAACATGTACGGTGCCAGTGGCAGTTTTACCCGTGTTTTCTGTAAGAATAATATTTTAGAGTTCAAAAAGTATAAAGCCTAAGAACAACAAAAAGAATCTTTAAAATTTCTCTTTCTTGCAGCCATGTTAGTGTGTCTTTTCAATATAAATTTTTTGACTAGCACTATTTCTTAATTTAATATGCTTGAAATCAAGACTTATAAGGTGATAAATTCACTGGTTATAAATGAAATCAACACAAACCCATATGGCTTTTTAAACAGTATTGATTTCATTTTTAAACAGTATGTAAATTTTTTTTGTTTGTTTCTAAAGTTTGAGTAAAAGTTTTGGGGATAAACAAATTTTAAATTTATTTTTATCACCTAACATATAAAAGTTTGGGAAAATTTTAAAATGTTGCAACCAGAAACAATAAAATAAAAATCTCTGGTTGGTGATGAATCATTTCTTTTTTACCTTAAGGGCTTTCTGTATTTTTCCCAAATGGTAATATTTTTGGTTTATAGTTTTGACTCTTCTTTAGTGTTTGTTTATTGCATTGAGCATAAATTAATTTTATACTTGGGGAAACATACATGCTCAGTAAATGGTACTTTAAAACATTCTGAAAAAGCCATTCTGGATAAGGAAATTTTATTGTTTGAGTTTTAAGTACAGAAGGTCTCTTTCTAGGTCACTCATGAAGGCACTTCACATTTGAACTAAACTTCTCTGACAGGCTTTCTCTGCTATTGAGCTCCTCTTTTTTTTGTTTTGAGACAAGGTCTTGCTAAGTTGACCAGATAGGGCTTGAACCTGTGATCTTCCTGCCTCAGCCTTCCACAGTGCTGGGATTAAAAGTGTGTGCCACTACATAATGTTCAGTAGTATAGTATCAACTATATTGATCCTCTCAAATCCAGACATTTCTGAGGATCAAAAAATCTTCCCTCAGTCACAATAAACAATAGGGACCAAAGAGAATTCACTGGTACTACAAACGCCACTGAGAAGTTAGACTTCTCAAAGGTTCTGTGGCCTCAGATTTGAGGCCTGAATCCTCTAAGATAATGGTATTTAGAGACAAAGGAAATATGTGAAATAATCATAATCCTCCTTGAAGAAATGCTAAATGGAGTAACATTTCTCTAAAAAACACTGAAATAGTTTTCTTACCGTCTATGGCCAGAACCTCAGCTGTGATTGTCTTGTTAACTATGAAAGTAGAATCCCGGGCGATGTTTTTGACAAATTTGATTTGAGCAGTTTTTGGATCAATAGTTAACAAATTGCCATCATTACGACCCATGACATATCTGTTTTATAACAGAAAAAATAATAGTTTTCTTTCAAATATAGAATGGTGCCCACTTAATGAAAATGAATCATTTCATATTTAATAACATTTAAAAAACCTTGAAATAAGAGCTTATAAAAGTGTTAGAAAATTGTCATGAAATGGATGAGCCATTTTGTAATCTTTAAACATATATTACCCTAGTTATTCAATTTTCCTCTGAAAAACAGTAAAACGCTTATGTCCTTGCTCTTTATTATACAGCTATTACTTTGCATGGTGTTCTTATATTTTAGGTTCTATCTGTCTGTCTATCTATCTATCTATCTATCTATCTATCATCTTTCTATGTTCCTTGGATTCATGTGTGATAATATTTTATCTGATGGAAACATAGTCTTCTGGCAAATTTCTAATTTTTGTAGGACTCAGCTGGAGGTGTCTGTAAAATGTTTTCTGATCTCGCTTGACAACCTAAGGCATTTATCTTAGTTTCCACTTTAACTTATGCTTATGTTAACTTTCCTTATAGCATAACACACTGTAATGATTTATCACCATGTCTCTTTCTGAGTTATTCATTTCCTTATATTTATCATCTTTATTTCTCTATTGTTGGCATACAGTTGTCTATGCATTGTGTTGTAAGAAATTATAGATTAAAACTAAGCCAAGGAATAATAAGATGTCATAAAAAGTCATACCTAACAGATGAGGCAGCCATGTTAGTGTCTTCATCGATGGCTTGATATATTCCCACGATATAATTAATCAAGTGTTTACTACTAATGCCTTTTTTCACAGTAAACGTCTTGGAAGCAGGGCGGAATGCAATTCCTTCTTTTACATCTATGATCTGAATTATGACTGGGGTTGACTGAACTCTATATTGAGAGACTACTGACTGGTGAAATTCAGCTTTATTTTTGACAGCAATACTAAATTGCATGCTTTGTATTTGTTCATAATCTAGAGGCTGGAAGGAAAATTAAAAGAAAGGAAGTGTCACAAAAACACAGTCTGGCTAGAGGGCAGAAAGCTCTACACGGGATGCAGTGAATGGGCCCTTTTATTTCCATGAAGCAAAACAATTTCAGAAATGACTGTCACGCTGAGGTAGAGACCCCATTTAGCTTCTTAACTGCTTGAGACCTCATTTTGGTAACTATTGACAAAGCAGGGCACCTCCTTTTTAGACTAACAAAACATCATTACCGTCTCTAGGCTGTGAGGGGCTGTGGAAAGAATCCTGAATTTGTTGTGGTAATGTGGTTTGAATCTTGGTTCTGCTACTTTTTAAGAGATTTGTGACTTAGGGCATGATGTTTAATTTCTCTGATTCTCAAGTTTTCACTTTTAAAAACAAACCTTAACTCATCAGGTTGTTGTGGGGATGGAACAAACGAAGGCCCACAAAACATTTCTATAAAGGGCAGCCGTGGCACAGAATACTCACTGGATTCATGGGCGATGTCTTTCATGACTTACAGAGTCCCAGGTGTGAAGGCAAACTGCCCTATCAACCTGGGTTGGCACCAAAGTCCCTGGCCAGCAGTGAGTGCGTGTCCCACCAACTCCTCATGGAATCGTTTTCAGATGGCCTTGCATGATAAATATGTTTGACCTTCTTAACAAAGTGACCCAGAACCAGGCCTGAGAAATTCCAGAACAACCTTTCTCATTCAGTAGTCTTTTTTTAAAAATTGTTTTTGGTAGCAGGGATTGAACTCAGGTCCTTGCGCTTGCGGGGCAGGCGGTGGAATCACTGAGCTAAATCCCCGGCCCTTTCTTTTTTTTTTGAGGATGATAAGGAAATACTAATTTTGGTTGGATTTGTTTATCACTAAAAATAAAATTGAGGCAAGAGATGCGGATTTGAGTTTTAACTTTGCAATGACTGGCTTTGTGCGCTCAGCATTTCCTAGGGGAAGAAAATGATATGTAAACTTCGTATTATACTATGACAGGTAAGAGAAGATGGGATTATAGAGCCTGTGTGTGAAAGTGAGAGATTACTCCTACTTGGGAGAGTCTGGAAAGTTTAGGTTTGAGGAGGGCTTGGCAGGAGGCTGAGAGTTATCCAGGCAGAGGTGAAAGCACTAGCAAATGCCCCCAGCCTTGCAGTAGGTGAGAGGAGACATGCTGGCTGCAGATGGTGAAGGCGCCCTTCATTTTGAAGGACAGCAGTTGGCTACCGGTTAGAGTCACTGCTGTGGACTTTACGACCCTCTGCTGCCTGGGCAATGAGTTACCCATAGTCCCACTGAGCCACTCGTTCCTCCATTTTTAGTGTCTAGGAAAAGTTGGTCTAGATAGGATTGAGAGACACTTTTTCGGTGAGGAAAGGTTCCAAAGAGAAAAGTAAATAGTATGAACTGTTTCTTTTTTTTTGGTACTGGGGATCGAACTCGGGACCTTGCGCTTGCGAGGCAAGCGCCAGAACCACTGAGCTAAATCCCCGGCCCATATAAACTGTTTCTTAAGAAAAATGTGGTGGACTGGTGGCAGTGTGGAGAGCAAAGTCAAGTAGAGGGGTAGGGACGTCTATTTGGAGACGCTGCAGCTGTCTAGGACAGAGGAAGCAAGGCTGGACTAGAGGACAGGTGGTTAGAAGGTAGAGGAGGGTGATGCTTTACTGGTAACCTCTAGGCAGAGCTTGGTGGCTGGCTGTGTGTTTGGAGGAAATGCCATGATTGAAAGATGGCATCCAGAATTCTAGTTTGGATGACCCCAAAACATGAGATAGAACTCTCTCATTTCTGAGCATGCTGGGAGTTTAGAGCAAAACCCTTACAAGTAAGGATGGTGGTAGTGATCTCTCTGAAAAGTAGAACAAAAAGAAACTGCACAGCTTCTTGCAGCACCCGTGATAAGGGAACATTATGGGTCTGTCATCCCACTGGACTTAAATGGTTAGAAAAAGACGCTCCCACATGGCCCAAAGTCCTATGTCAAAGAATGTCACCAGATAGTCATTGTTCCTTCAGGCCTATACCATATCCAGCCAGAAATGTCTTTGCATTATTTTAGATAGGGCATATTTTAGATCTGTCATAGTGAAATATGCTAAAGGGAAGCTTTATTTTTTATCTTGCAGATTTTGTTCATACATTCTTGATTTCTAGAAGAAGTTGTGTTTTTTCCCTCTGATGACTGTGGCTAACTCATCTAAAACAGTTGTACAGGGCTGGAGATTTAGCTCAGTGGTTTTGCCACCTGCTCTGAAAGGACAAGGACCCGAGTTTGATCCCCGGTACCAAAAAATAAAAACAAAAACAGTTGTTCAAGCTCACAAGCCATATTTTTGCCTCCATCTATTTGCCTCTTTTCCTAGCTTTGATCTAAATGCAGATGGTGAATTTGATTTGGTCAGGAAATGTGTTTTGCTTTCTCGGGATGAAAGCATGCACACCCATACACACACGTGTTAGTATATGTGTGTTGACCACTGAAAGTGTGTTAGCTTCAAAAGGAATGAACCAGCATATTAAGAGAGGTCTTTAGGTAACATGGTTATGGGATAATTTAAAAATTTCTAGGTACTTTTATATGTTTATAGGATGAAGTGGTATTGTTATTGATAAAGTTTATTTGTAGAAATGGTAGTTTGGGTCAAATAGTCTGTTTTTAAAAGGAAACTGAAGCCTTACCTTTACCACTTTCAGGATGCCTTCATTGGTCCTTGGGTCAGTTTCTATTTCAAACCACTTCCCTTCATTTCCAGAGGTAAAGAAATACACGGCCAACCAATTATCTGTATACTCTTCATCCCAATCTGTCACTTGAAATCGAAGTAAGTCAGAGCTTACAGTATTTTCCTCAATACGTGCTGAATACTAAAGAGGAGAAAAGCCAAATTTAAGAATCAATGCAAGGTTTTACCTAAAACGATTATATTTGTTTTAAATGGTATTATCACTACTTCTCAAATTACGTATTGTCTGCTTCTGAGTTCCTGAGTTTCTTTTCTCTCTTTCTTTCTCTCTCTCCGCCTCCACCCCCACTGTGGTGACCACTATGAGGCCCAGATTGGCCTTCAACTCACTATGTAGCCCAGGCTGGCATCAGACTCACAGTTCTCCTGCCTCAACCTCCTGAGTGAGATTCGGGACTACAGGTGTGTGTGTCAATACACCGAGCCTATGAATTCTTATATTTTAAAAAACCTTATTTTTAAAGAAGAGTGCAGAAAACATAAAAGCCAATAAGTAGGAAAATACTGAATTTAGATGGGTGTGTGTGTGTGTGTGTGTGTGTGTGTGTGTGTGTACTTTCAAGGAACAGTGGGTGTACCTGAGAATATTTAAGCACTGGGAAATTGTCGTTGACATCTTTCACTTTAATATCGCATTCACATTGAGTTGACAGTCCTACTCCATCCTGGTCTGCACCACTCACAACCAGCCGATAGCTGCTAAATTGCTAGATTTGGAGAAAAAAAATCATTATTAATCTTCCAAGGATATGAATGGCCCCTCCCTGCTTTCTATGGGTAACGCAGGGTAAATATGCACAGTTAGTTGTCCGTGAGGGAAGAGGTTTGTGTGGCTCTAGAAGACTGGGTGGAAATCTTGAAGGGGCTACAACATGTTTTCTCTTTGGTAAGTGTCTGATGGCAAGGCTGTATGCTTAGAGCAAAAATGGGCAATGAGTATGGTGGGGTGATTGTCTGAGGGAAGCTTGCTTGGGTAGCATCCCTGCTAATCTGCTGGTAACATCGTTTGTACAAAAGCAATCCCGAGTTATAGGAGATAGTCGTGGTAGGGATGGATGGTGGTGAAGAGATGGGGCCAAAAGAGAAACAGGATTTTCTGGTGTTCTGAAAGTGGGGAAAGGAAAAGCCTAGGTAGAAAGTAGGACATCAGGATAGAGAAGACATTTAAAAAAGTTAATGGAGTACTGCTCAGCCATAAAGGAAGATAAATTTGAGACATTTACAGCTAAATGGATGTACCTTAAGGCCATACTCTTCAGTCAAATATATAGGACACACGTGTGAATACTGAATTGCTTCTCTGATGCAAGAAACTGAAGATGTAAATGAGGACCAAGATGTATAATGGCTATCACGAAATCGGAAGAAAATGTTCAAAGGCAAAGAGGAAGCAGGGAGGGGGACAGAGGAGAGGAAAGAGGGGAAAGAAAAAAAATTGAAGGTAAGAAGGAAAAAAAGGAAACGAGCTTATGTATATAAGGAGTGGTGGAGGGGTGGGGGGGCAGGGGAATGGGGAAAAAAAAAGAATGAAGATACATCATGTAAAGGTAGAAATTCCCAAGGGTGAATGTGATCATAAGGTATATCTAAAGTGTACTGATAAACTCAATAAAAAAATTCTAAACAAAAAAGGATGACACCAAAGAAGGCTTTACTCCAGGTAGGGATTTCTCCTTTTATCTAACAATTTTCCTACGCACAGTGCAGTCTTTGTCCAGTATGCCAGTGCCTTCTGTTGCTCTCCCACTGTAACCTCCACTGCTATGTGTTGGGTACTCTGCACTGTGCAGGTCCCGGGCCTACATCCCACCCCACAGAATCACACCAAAGGAGGTAAGCACTGCGCCTGGATTGGACCAGGGAATATCTGGCAACCTCCTTTTCTTCCTCTAATTCCTAGATGAAAGGGAATCACCTCTCTTCAGTTTCTTACAGTGAAACCCTTTATTTTTAAATGGTCTCAGTGACTTGCTTTACCTCTCGATCGAGACCATTGGTCAAAGTACGGACTTCTCCAGTGTTTCTGCTTATGAGGAACGTGGGTGTTCCTGTGGGCTCCTGGGAGACGATTTTGAAGGCGATTTTAGAGTTCAGATGGTTTGGCTCATCTGCGTCTGTGGCATTTAGTATCATCACCAGCGAGTCTAGGAATACAGGAAAATGTTCATTAAAGAATACATAAAGATCAGCATTATGCTCACATTAAATATTTACTGCAATCTCACATTGATTTTCAAGAGTTCAAAGCTACCTCTATGCACAGAAATTACTTGTCACTTGTGATATCCGTTTCTGTGTCTCTCAACCAGGCAGAACTGTGCCACCTTCCACAAAAGTCTTCCAGTTCTCCCGAAGCCTTGGCTTGATTTTTTTTTTTCTCTCTTTATGACTTCCCTTGATGGGATGGCCTTATGATTCTCCTCCTTTTTCCTAATGATCCAAGTAATGTATGTCTCTGTCTCTTAAACCTAAAACACCCCAACCTGTACACTCAGGCCATCTAAGTGTGCCTCTTCAGGTTTGTGACTACCTGCTGCTCATGTAGCTTGTAGACCCAGAGAAAGGTACTATCAACCTCATAGAAGACTAGAAATACAATGGTGGTGGATTATTAGCTCAACCACAAATTTTAGAAAGGAAGAACCATGTTCTGTTTTGATGAGTTTGTTTCTGCAAAATGATTGAAGAAATTAATAGAGTAAGTTAGTTTGTAAAAATGATAAACTATAGTGATACTTGTAATTGAAAAACGGATGAATTGGAAGTGGTAGATACTGCAAGACTTACTTGAAGCACTGTTTTCTTCAATTTCGCCCTTGAATATTCTTTGTGAAAATACTGGAGCATTATCATTAACATCTAAAATTTTGACCGTTAGTATAAGCGGTTTCTCTACATCTTGTCCTAGGACACTTAGAGCTCGACACGTGATCTAGGAACAGAAGGAATGCTAATGATTACTCTACCCAGTTAATCTGCATATTATTAAGACTAGGAGAAACAAGGCCTCTGCTGGCATGTCCAGAACTTTTGTGTAAATAAGAAAAACCCTCCCAGAAAGGGTGGAGAGAATGAAGAAGACACTCACGCTTGCCACTGGGCAAGTTGCCCCTTCCTCCTGGCTGAGGAAGCTCTTGGCAAGCAGCACGCTGGATTTTGGCCCTCATCCATGTGCCTTCCCTGTAGGTAATCAAAGCCCCAGTGGAGGTTCTTTGTAGAAGGACTCATGTTATTTTGGTGGATCGATTCATGCACTCATATCTCTTCCACATTAGCCAGTAAAAGAGTCACTTTCTGAAGCCATGGACTGTGATACAAGGGGAAGGGAGACCTGATGCTGAGTACACAGACTTACCAGGAAGCTTGGGGTTTCCTCTCGGTCAACGATGGCTGTTATATTAATTTCACCCGTGTTTGGGTTAACAATAAAGATTCCAAAAGGAGGCTGATCAATTCCCACCCCAGAAATTCTATAGGTAATTTTCTGGGTTGTTTGGAAATCTGAAGTAATCTGTAACCAAAAATATTAAAAATGTTAAGGTGATCGTCACTCAGGCCTTTTCCTTCCCCATTCTCTTCCATCTCCACAGTCTAAAGTCATTTGTTCACTCGATCCCCTCTTTCTGACACCATAGTCTTTCCTTTTTGCTTTATTAGATGGTAGGAAGATGAAATAAAGTTAAGGTGGTGCTCTTGTTGACAAGTTTTGACCAGTATATGTTAATTATTTTGGCTTTAGAATGTTTGCTCAGATTATGACCACTGCGGTGATGTTAAAATGTTGAGAGATGAACAGGGGTGTAGCTCAGTGACACAGCACTTGGTTCCCATGTGCAAGCCTTGAATTTTATCCCAAGCACCACAAAAAAATTGTTGAGAAGGTTGTTTATTTAAGTTTAAAGAAGAGGAAATGGAAAAGGGAACACAAGAAGGGGTCAAAATACGTAATAAGGTGAATTGCTTTTCATTATTAAAATTTTAAGCCTTTTACTGAGATGATTTCAAATCTATACACAAAATTAGAATAATGTACTAACCTGACACATCTCATCACCCAGTTTCAACAATTATTCATACATGGCCAATCCAATGTTTACTCCAAACTCTCTAATTGTTTTACCTCTCTGTATTTTTCCTAATACTTTGTTAGAATCTGGATCCATGTAGGCTTATACATTAAAATTGGTCAACAATGTTTCTTAATTTTATGGTTTAAGTCTAGGAATTATAGTTCTTCCACCTTTTTTTTTCTTACTTTTGTTATTGTTTTACTTTTTGTTAGAGATAGTAGTTCATTTGTTCTGTGGACTTCCCCGTCTGCATTTGCTAATTGGAATTACCATATTATTTTAATTTAGGTATAATACGTTTATTCTAAAAACCCACACTGGCCCTGCTAGCATGACTTGCCTTGGCAATGGGGTTTCTTTTGGAGTTGTCTTCTCTTTCTCTGCAGGGCGTTGCAAATTTCACCCACTCTCGTTTGTGCCTTCTTTTCCCCTGTTGAACTGCTGTCTCATCTTCTCCATGGGGCTCTTTTGTCTGATGTAAAAAGAGTTCCATTTTGTCATGCATATTGAGGGAATTTTTGCTTTGAATAATGGTTATGGAGACCTATATTGAGGAACGCCCTAGGTTTTAAGATATCTAAGACTGTTAGATGCTCAATTTACTCTGACGCTTTGTCAAAGAAGAAACTTTAAATAACTAAGACTCTTACAAAGCTTTATGATTCCTAATATTAGCTATTCATCCTATTTTATATATGTTTTATATACTGTACAATATGTAACTGTTCTAGACTTATAGGCTATGACCTGGTGATTTGTTTAGGTTAAGAAAAAGAATGCATGAGATAAAGTATAATACTAACAAGTACAGATGATTCTTTCTAAATATTTATGGGTTAGTTGCTAGAATTTTAACTTTATATATTTTTACAATTATCAAATAATTTTAAACATTATGTTTCTGAAATACAATTTTAGTTTAACAAAGTCTTTATTTTAATCACAAAACATTTTTCTAATACTTTACCTCTATCTGTAATTCTCCATGAACCAATACAAAGACCTGTAGAAAATTAAATAGAATCAAGTTATATGTGCATTCTTCAAATAAATAATTACATAAAGTTAGCAATCTTGATTGTTATAGTCTATGGTTCCTATTATAGTTTGTTTCCATTTCTGAAGAGTCAGGTTTGGAGAAGCAGTATTCAGGGTATAAATTCCTACCGGTGAGAGGACTATTACTCTCCATATAAACAAGTTATTCCAGTTTTTTAATCTGACAATAGAATTTCAGTAATATAAAGAAGGACCTAGTGGACTTTGTACAACTCTGCCTAGCAGCCGGTTGTAGTAACCAAACATTTGTTATGTGGTTGTTCTATAAATGGCTCTCAGAAGCCATGGAGGGCATTGCTTTGGGAAACAAGGATAATTGCAACAAACTTCAGAAAGTGGTCATGGAAAGTGGTTATTAAAAACCAGTGCCTACCCACCTGATTTAAACCAAGCCAAGCCCAGATTAGCTGCAATTATAGGACATTTTCTCTAGTCGGATGAGAGTGGAGAGGTCAGAATGGAGCTGCTCTGCTTTAGAGAGTGGAACTTTTTATAAAAGATGGGGAGAGGACTGCCTCACAAGCACAAGGTACTGAGTTTGATCCCTGGTACCAAAAAAAAAAAAAAAGATGGGGAGATACTATTCCAATCTCAACTACTGTTTGCCGTGAGACATGGATCTCTTCATCTCTTCCTTATATTTCAATTTAAATGTTGAGCTTAATTTTCATACTACTGGTATGAAAAAAATTAAATGCAGAAAGAATGAAGTCAGACAGGCTAGGAACTTCACTTTCTCAAGACGTTACAGGACCTTCATCTGTACCATTTCCATGTTGCCTTCCACCTGAAAAACGTTCCCCTTTCCTCTCTCTCCACTTTAATATTACTCATCCTTTAAGAATCTTTCATGTCCCAACAAACTCCACCAAACTCTCCTTACTCATGTCTCCTTTTCTGAGTTTGTTCATCTTATACACCAAATTATGCAGTTTAGCCCATGGTGGCTTACCATGTTTATTTATTTACTTTTGTTTTTTTTGAGACAGGGTCTCGCTATGTATTCTAGGCTGGCCTTGAATTTGTGGTGATCCTCCTGCCTCAGCCTTCCTAGGGCTGGGATTACAGGCATGGGACACCATGCCAGGCCCATGGCTTATTATTGCTTATTGTTATTTGTGCATTAAAACATTTCCCTGCTAAACCAAGAGAATGGAAAACTTTCCAAATCAGTGTTTTTATATTATTTTTGTTTTTTTCCCTCAGCAGATGTTTAACAGTGATTTGCTGATCTGCTGATTATGTGTTTTGAAGTAAATGTGGTAGGAAAATTATTGCAGAAACTAAACCAGAAGAAAAAAGGAGAAGAGATATAATAGTAGCTAATGTTTCTTATGTGACTTATTAGTTTTTATTCAGAGATTTATATTTATTATCTCATTTAATATTTACAGCAGCTGCCTGAAGGAGGGTCTCTTGTTATAATCTTAATTTTTTTGGATGAGGAAATGGAAATATAAGATAATAAATGCAGTACATGCCCTTGTACATGGTTCTGGTAGAACCAGGATTTGAACCTCAGCAACCTGATTCCAGGTAGTGTACATCACCACTATACCAGATTCTAACAAAAGTTGTCACAGACACATAAAAACAAAAACGATAAGAACAAAAATCCCCAGATAGTGATGGGAGGAAGGTTATATGGGAGTCAGTTTAGATTTATGTCTGACCAAAGGCTGTGGTTGCTCTTCAAACAATGAAGATTTATTACACTGTTTATTTTCAGAGGTTTTAATGAATAGGCCAGTCCAAGGGTGAACCAAAGGAGTAATTATGTCAGACATAGGATGTTGGTAGTCTTCCATTCTAAACATTTCAGCTGAAAATCTGATTTCAAAGAGCGTGTGCTCAAGTGGTCATGAAAACGAGCCTCTAGAACATGCCTCAAAATGATTTTACAACACTGGACCTCTTTATTAGGCAATGCCATGGATTACTCGGGAGGAAAGACCAGAGCAATGCAAGAATTGAACAACTCCTTTCTTAAATCATAAGAAGCATAAGAAGACAGACTCAGCCATGTGTGAGGGGAGGGATGGGCCAGGACTGCTCCTCTTTACAGGAAAACTGGAGTCATCCCGAAAATATGAATCATGTTGCTACTAGTCCTACAGAGAAAGGCTCTTCTAAAAGATGTGAAGGTGCAGTTTCTGTTTTCCTGGGAAGCAGAGGGAAAAACTAATTCTCCTAAAAGATGGAGAATTAACATTGTAGACAGTTGTTTCTTTTTAAAAATATTTCCATAGAAATTAGAGCACTTAAAGGAATGAATTTGTTTATTCTAAATCATTACTCTTTCCTATCTTTTAAAGTCAGATCATTAAGATGTCCCTTCATTTTAGGAAATAATGTGAAAATGTGGTGGATTTTTTTTCCCTCTAGGAACACAACGGTTGTTGGTAAGAAACACTGCTGAAAGTTACAATGTTCTTTAGATATTTAGACAATTCTTTTTTTTTTTTTTTTTTTGCTATTTGGGATTGAACTCGGAACCTTGCACTTGCAAGGCAGGTGGCAGAACCACTGAGCTAACCCCCCCGCCCTAGATATTTAGAAATACGACCACAGACTTACATTGTTTAGAATGGTATTTTCTAAGAAACTTATTTTAGTTAATACCTACATAATGGTTACTTATCTTAGTCTTCCAGTATAATTATTTTGATTATTGTAAAACAATTTTTTGACAAATAAAAATTATGTAAATTTATCATGTATAGTACATTGTCTTTTTTCCTTTTTCTCAGTACCAGGAATTGAACTCAGGGCCTCACGCTTGCCAGGGACTTGAAAATATGTCCACATTGTGGGATGGCTACGTTGAGCAAATAAATATTGAAATAGTTTCCTAATAATTTAAATCAACTAAGTTGTCTCTTTTGGTAGCCTGAATTGAAAATACTAATGTGGAAAAAACATCCATTATCTTGAAAATTCCTGTACTTTTATTTCTTCTTGTTTCAAGCTTATTTTGTAAATTTTGATTATATGATTTTTTAAAGCACTGATATAGGCTAAATGCTTTGCTTTAGACAGGAATTAAAATATTAGATTAAAAGCAAATCTGATTATTAATAAGAAAGCATAAAGATAAGTAATTTGATATCTATATGCCCTATTTGCTAATAAAAATGAATATAGTTGTATCATTAACATTCTTATTGAATAAAATATGTACACAAAAAAGTATAATTTGAGGATATCTATGGCTAGATTTATTATATTTCATTGTATTGGTACATGTGTGTGGTACATGTTTAGATTCTTTGTGGGCAATTGGTACCTGTACGTAATACATCTTAATTCCACTTTTTATTTTATTTTATTTTTTTGGTACTGGGGATCGAACTCGGGTCCTTGCGCTTGTGCAGCAGGCGGCGAAACCACTGAGCTAAATCCCCGGCCCTTCATGCCACTTTTTTATCCCCTTTTCCTTCCCTCCTTACTTCTTCCAACTACCTCTTGATCCCTTCCTTTTTACATTCCTTGAGTACAGTTGGTACATGTACATAATTCATTTTAATTCCTTTTTCCAACCCCCCTTTCTCCCCTCCCTCCTCCTACTTGGATAGATTTTTAAAAACCATTTGAAATAACACCTGCTATTTTACTTAGCCAAGATTTTGATTAGTTACCTCAAACTTTAGCGTTGGAAGGGGCAGATCATTGGACTATGGATCAAATGCAGGGGGCCGGTTCATTGGGCTAGGCCAAGACTGCTCTTCCCTTCGATACAGTGGGAGTGAGCATGGGTCATACCTGTTCCCCTTGGGGAAGTTCATAGAGTGAATTATATAATTCAGAGGAATCACTCAAGTCTTAAATGTGATTTTGTATTTATTCATTTTTGGGGGAAAATTTTCATATGTAGGTTTCACTCTTACAATGGATGAGATACAATGATTGTGAATGTGTCAGATCACAGAGATCATTTGGTACATGTTTGATAAGCAAATGACATAATGTGAAATTCAGAAGAAATGAGTGGTGTATCTTCCCTGATTTCTCCATATATATATATATATATATATTTATGCTCCTCCACTTATGATGGAGTATGTCCTCATAACCTCATCATAGGTTGGAAGTAGGAAGTTGAATGTGCATTAATATACCTAGCCTAGTGAACATCATGCTTAGCCTAGCCTGCTTTAACCATTTTCACAACACTTACATTAGCCTACTGTTGGGGAAAACGTCTTAACACAAAGCTTATTTCATAATAGAATGTTGACTACCTCGTGTAATCTACTGCATATTGAACTGAGTATGAAAAACATATGATTGTATGGACATGCTTTCTCATCATAAAGTTAAGAAGTTTTATTTATTTATTTACTTTTGGTAGGTTTTTTTGATACAGGGTTTGCATTTCTAATCCAGGTTGGCCTCAAACTCATGATTCTCCTGCTTCCACCTCTGAAAGTGTCAGGATTGCAGGCATGCCCTGCCCACACCTGACAAGAGTTGAAAAATTTTCACCATTTTAAAGTCAAGCCATCATAAATCTGGAATGTTTCAGTGAATTTTTAAATTTTAGTTTTCCAAAGTATTCTATAAACTTTGCATTCATCAAGATAAATTCCTTAATTGGATAAAATTATGTATGCTTAAACACTTAGAAATTATTTGATTGCAAACAATTCAATTTCCAATAACTGATTTGTAAACTCAATTAATTTAGAATGTACAACTTTGTATCATGAGAGGGATGTTAAGAAAAACAAATGCCCTTGGATCCTATCAAATGCTCCATTTGAGTGCTGTGCAGTATGTAGTCACATGTGGTAATATAAAACTGGACACTGGATCTTGAATTTGAATCCTAGATGCAGCTATGTACCAACTGTATAACTTGGGAATATTACTTAATTCTTCTGTTTCCTCATCTGTCATCTAGGAATAATCATCCTACCTGCTTTATAGGTATGTTTTGAGGACAGAATGAATAGGAATAAAGCACATACATTAGTCCTAGTCCATAGTAAGTGCATTTTAGTCCTGGCCCATAATAAGTGCTTAATAAATGTTGAACATTTCTGTCACCAAACCAAGAAAAAAAAGAAAAAGGAAAGAAAAGTGTACAAAAGAGTTACTTTGATTAATGTGAAGTGCCTTATTGTTATTTGCCATCAAGGCACACAAGAACACTTTCTTTCTTGGGTGAAGAAACAGTGCTCCACTGCACAAGTGTTTAGGCTGTTCCTTGCACAACTCCAGAGGGGACTGTTCACACTGTAGCCTTTGTGAACACACCTACTGGAGCTGTGCAGCACACAGCCTGGAAGCTGTACAGCAGTCCTGTAAGAAAAGTGTGTGCATTAGATAGGTCCCATTATTCATCATGTAATTGTAGATAGTAACCAATTGCCCAGATAATTACCTCGTGAGGAGCTTCTCAAACCAAGCTCTCACCTTAGGCTACTAGACTGACTCCTTACTGGAAAGGAAAGGCCGAAGGCTACATCTATGAGAAACCTCACGGACATTGAGTGTCCTAGTTCCAGATGAAAACCGGTTTCAGGTATTAAGCAAGTAGGAGTACTAATTGGGAGAAATGATTACATCTTTCCCAACTTCTGCCCAAGTCAGGCAGGGCTGAGTAAAATCCCTTGGCAAGATTATTCTGATTGATGAATCTTTACTTTTGGAGAGGTTCAGTAGCAAATTTATCTTCATATATTTATGAGCAGTGGAAACCATTGTTTCATTGATCAAGGGAAGAAAATATACCTCAAAGAATTTTCTTTTGTTAAAATGGGTCATTTAGCCTAAAACCTTTTTCCTAAACATTTATTTTTGGGATGTTCTATAAAAGAGATGGTGGCAGACAGTTTTACTATATTTAGAATATGCTCTAAACACAACTTGATATTTAAATTATTTTTTCCTTATTTTCCCATATCATCACCAATTTAAAAATTGTAGTAAAATGTTTGGGTTTCAAATATCTCTATTAATTTCATGAGTAAAGTTCTACATAATATAGTAACATGAAATTAGACAGTTCGTTGTTCAAATGTTTACAGGAATGTTATATGACAAAATGATTTTGTGAACTGTAAAACATTGAACCATGGTTTCCTTCGAAGGCTAATTCTTTCAAAAGATTAAATCTCTAAAAATAAGCATTTTTAACTGTAAAAATAAGCATTTTTAACTGTAAAAATTTTTTTATCTTGTAGTGTGGGAAATGGATCAGATAAGCATAAGAAACTAATACATATTACATTTTCAAACAATAGGCAGATGTTCCTCATGTGGTCCCTTCCCAAATAATTCATCTGGAAACCTGAACGGCTGAAATTTTAAGAAAATCTCCATTTTAAAATGTTATTTTCCCATTTCCACCATTATATTCATTTAAAATATAGCTTCTAGTTTTTTCCTGTCAGTTTAAAAAAATTAACCTCACAATTATTTTTGACAGACTTTAACTCAAGACAGTAGAAGTCCTTTCCTGACTTACTAATGTTGGTGATCATTTAAAATAGTGAGTTACAATATTAAGAAGCTATCAAAAGTCATTATTATGAAAACATTACACATAATAAATGTTAGAATCTTTGCATTTCTTGAAGTGCTTTTTTTGCACATGTGGCTGCTCTTTTGAGTGGGTGGGGATGGGGTACAGCTGTTTTTATTTGACGGGAGGCCACAAGGCCTGCAATGAGTCAAGAACACAGCTATAGGTTCACACTTATGACTTTGCTGCTACATCTCACCTTACTAGGTACCCCTGGATGGGCGTTGGGTGGCAGAATTATTTCAAAATCTCCAGTCAGGTCTTCCAACTTTCAGATCCCACCCTTCAATAACAAAAGACGTGCTTTCCTACTCAACAATGATTTTGAGAGCATTGCTTTTTGTTCCCCATAACCACACTATTTCAAAACTCTGGGTGGCTCCCCATTTCTGAAAGGATTCCGTTTGTCTTCACAGAATGCACCTTTCAACCTCACCCTCATCTAGCTTTTCTGTTCATGTTCAGATTCTCCAACACAAACTCTGATTCCAGTCAAACCAGTGAGTCTTTGCCCCTATGCAAATCCTTAACTATACCTGTCTTTGCTTGTGTTCATCTGAAAACTGAAGTTGCCTCCCTTTGGCCCATGTCTGTTTATCAAATCTCAAATCTCACTGAATCCACAGTCTTATTTGCCTCCCTCACTCTTGACTGACACTGCTTTCTGCTAACAGAATTAATTGCAGACCACTACTGCCTAATAGAAATATAACCAGATCCAGAAATGCCAGCCACATACATAATTTAAAAATTTTTGGTAGTCATATTTAAAAAGTTAAACAATAGTAAAACTAAACAACATATTTAATCTAATGTATCTGAAATGCCATCATTTCAATATGTAATCAACATGACATTAATGATTTATCTTTTGTTCTTTTATTCATATTAAATTCTCAAAATGCAATGCATATTTTACACTTAAGAGCATGTCTCACCCTCAGACCAACTACATTCTGAGTGGTTAACAGCTGCATGTGACTAGTAGCTGCCATATTGGATACCTTAGACTACTCATTTTAATTTTGTTTAAAGTTACTGCATATTGTTGTTCAAATAGCCTCTGTGTGAGAGCATGTGTATGTGTGTGTGTGTATGTGTATGTGTGTGTGTGTTTGTAAAATTTTTCTGAGTGGAGGAAAATGTCTATGTAGCACAGTTTCCCTCCTAAATGAGCATTATAGGAGAACTGAATGAGATTTTATAGTTTGAGAGACTTCTTTCAGTCATTTCTTCATTCTTCAAACAACTGTGTGCCCTCTATAAGAAAGATATCTCAAGTTACTGTAGGATAAGAGGGGTGACTGAGAGTTCTTCATAAGTTAAAGCAGAGAAAAAAGTACCCTGAGTCATGACGATTCAATTCGATGTCCTTATTATCATACTATGTCCTTATTATAATACTACTCTGGCTTCCCTGGCTGTATCTCCCTTAATTTCCTGAGTTTACTCACTGGTTTTGACCTATGGGTTATCTGCTACCTGCAGTTTAGTCCATCACTTTCCCATCTGGAGAGGTGGAGAAGCCATGCAGCTATCATATTTTTCTATTCTTGAGTTAAATAAAAATCACTGGGAAACCAAAATGCTCATATTATCATAACTCAAGCGGTCTTAAGACTGGGTGATGCTCATCTTCTGTTCAAACATTCTTATGAGGGAACACTGGAAAATTTTACCACATAAGGCAGCCTATTGTAGACAACTTCAATTTTTAGAAAGCTTTTCTTTTTGTAGTGTTGGGCATTGAACTCCAGACCTGGTGAATGCTAGGCAAGTACTCTATCAACTGAACTATATTTTCAGCTCCAGAATGTTCTTTGTGGACATCTAGTTTCCTGTAACTTCTGGAAGTCCATTTATCTCAATTTTTTGAGGTGAGATAATGAAGCAACCTGATATCTAGGCCAACCAAGGTTATCATAGACAACATGAGGGTTAATATTTAAGAATTTAAAAAATATTCATCTGTAGTATTTAACTGTTTGAATATCTTCATGTAATGGATAATATTGTCACTTATTTTTTTGTCACCCATTAATACCTAAGCTAATGCCTTTCTCTTCAGATTCCACTTCTGTTTTAGACAACACTGTTTACAACTTTGCTCATCAACAGAAGTGCTGGGGTTATAAAACGTTGTGCATCTTTTTTCCCCTCAAAGGCTTAATGTGCTCTGCACATAATGATTAAACTTAAAAACTGCTTCCTTAATCCTCCCAACTTCTCTGGAGTCAAATTCAGTTTGATTTTAATTCAACGGTCTTTTAAGTATGTTAAAAACATGTCAGGTATCAAGACCAGGCACGCAGAGTTCTCACCCATATAGTTAATAAGAGACACGTAATCTTAGGAAATAGATGTGTCTTTGCTCTCTCTTATGTGTTTCAGTTTTTGTGTTAGGAAAATGAATAAAAGCATAAGTTTGAAGAAAATAAAGGTATTGTGGAAATAAAATCTTCTAGGAATACTTGATTCACGAACTAAAGGAAGACTAAATTTTTACTGTAAAATCCATTTCTTTTTGGTTTACTTTTCTTTGTAAAATACAGCCTTTAAAAACAGCAAGGAAGAAATTGGAAATCATCACAATTTTGTCATACAACGGTTTTAGAATTTATAATATGAATTCAGTAATCAGTTATAATGTTACCTAATAAGGAAAGAAACAGGGAGAGCTTGAAACTTTTAGGAAAAGACATGACTTACCATTAAAATGGCCAGAGCCCGGATGGGCTTGGGGACGAGCCAAGCCATGGTCTCTGTTCCCTGGAGAACAAATCCAAGAGAGCCTCCGTGGCGGCCCTCCCAGCCCTCTGTCCCCAGAGGATAGAGGATGTCACCTTCCTGCAGCAGAGCCTCTGCAGCCTGGCGCAGGAGTCCAAGGTGGCCTTCTCGAGGGCTCCTGCCCAACCTCACCCAAGGATTGGTCTCCTCAGAAACACTTGCATCACTCTTTCCCCCAGGTAAAAACTGAGACACACCTCAGTTCCTACAGCAATGAAATCCTTTGTTGTGAGCTGAAAGAGCAGTTCTCAGGCTAAAGACAAAGTTGAATAGGAAGGTACCAGATGAATAATCAACTAATCATGGTGTGGAAGTGCAAAGCTAGCCCTGACTACACTGAAAAGGAATTTGGTTGGCTTCTCATGGTTGGTTACAACTAAAACTGAAAAGCAAAATGAAGCATATAAAAATCCCCCAAAATCCACTTGTGGAAGAGCCCTTATTTTGAGCCTGAGTATGTGAGTAGAGCTACCGTTAAATATATTAAGTAATAATGAATCTTATTGAAAGTATTTACAAAGAAAAAAATCACATCAATCAAATATTAATGCAAAGTTTGAATAAAAACAATTAGAAATAAAGTTGAAGTGAACAGTTCTATGGTGCCTTTGATATTTGAAATATATGGTGTATTGTAAAATCAGATTTCTGATAATATCTAAATGACATCTTTCCTATTGTACTTATTTTCAGCTACAAGTTTAAAAAGAGCAGATTGACAGGCCAGCAGGTTGTCTTTGTACTTTCCTAATTACTCCAGCCCACCCTGCCCTCCAACAGTCTCCTGCCTACTCCTGCCGCATATTTGTAAGCTCCTCAACATATGGTCTCTATCCCATATTAGGGAGGGGAAAAAACTACCAACCTCATTTTAATTTGTTTGCTTTTTAATCTCAGAGTTAAAAGTATTTTTACAAGTTTCAGAATATCCCAAGAAGGGCTTGTAGAAGGGCAATATTGTCTTTGAAAGTATTTATCCATCAGGTATTAGAAGGTTTTTAGTTTGTAGGAACCCATTTAATGAGAGTATTTAGTCAAAAAAGATTACACAAGTTAGTTCAGGAGCTGGTAAAAACACCTTGCAGGCGAAATTTTGTGTGTTTTTTAAAAAACTCTAGCAAGATATACGAAATATAAACTCTACCAGTTAGCTATTTTTAAGTGTATAACTCAATGGCATTAAGTATATTCGCATTGTACAACCATCACCATTATCACTGGAAAATTCTTGTTTTTGAAATAAAGTGTTTTTTTTAATGAGTAAGTGTTATTAGAACATAATCACAGCCATCTATCCTATTGAGAATGGCTACTTTGGTGGTACCATGGCTAAACTGAACACCGTTGAGCAGGCTTACAGATATATTTTATTTATTTTCTTCATCGTATCTTTATGTATTTTCTACTTTTATTTCTGCAATGATAATGTACTAATTTTAGAACTAAAAAAAAGAAAAGTTATTTTGAAAACATTGGGAAGAAAGCAAGCCTTTTACATTCTAAACTTTGGAACAGGGAAAACAAGACCAATAGTAAACTTTTAATTCTTTCCCACTACAGTTTTGCAATTCTTCAGCACATTATAGTGCTAATTATAAAAATAATAGCAGTGAATTAGGGTATTTGTAGGCATAGTTGTGAAGTTCCTTAAATTCTGGATATGGCTTGGTTCATTTTGATTTACCTTTCCTAACATTCCAGTTTGTTGACAAATTTAATTATTTAGGGTTTGAAAATGGTAATTATCATTCCACTTCCTTATCTAAACACAGATGAAAGACTATTGGTATTTCACTTTTGTATTTTGAATACCATGTAAGCGTTCTTGGTGGGATGGTACATAAAGAATGTGGACACCCTATGTAGAAGAGTAATGCAGCGTACTTGGCCTCATGAAAGCTGGCTCCATCTACTTGCCTCAGTCGAAAATGATCATAGAAAGCAGGAACGGGTTTCACTGTGCAGTGCATAGGCAGATAGGGCTCTCTGATATTTTTTCCAAGTGCCCTTGACAGTGCTTTAAACCAATACTCCCTCTTCCTGGAAAAAAGGGACCTCAGAAAGGTGATAAACCACCCTAGGGTTGAGACTACATTTACATACTTTTAGAATGTTAGACTGGGGATTTCTCCCGGTGGAGAATACATTTGCACAGCGTCTTCTGAACTAAGCAGTATGTTCTCTTACTGTTTCATTTCTGTTTAGAAAAAGGAAAGAGGGGAGGGTTTCTAGTGGTTTCTGGTTGAATGGTTATGTTATTATTCTCTGGATATTGACCTTGGAAACTTGTGGTTTGGATATGATATGTGCCCCCAAAGCTCGTGCGTTGAAAGTTTGGTTCCCATGCATTAGATGTGGGTGTTGAGAAGTGACTGAATCATGAAGGATCTGGCTTCATGAATGGATTAATCCATTGACGGGTTCATAGCTGAAAGGACTACAGGGAGGAGGTGAGAACTGTAAGAGATAGGACACAGCTGAAGGGAGTAGGTTTTGAGGGTGGCCCTTGGGGATTCTATCTTGTCCTAGAGTCAGTCCCCCCCCCAACCCCCGCCCCGTCTCGGCTGCCATAGGGTGAGTGGCTTCACTCCACTTTGCCTTGCCTGCCATGATGTCCTGTCAAGCAACAGGCTTGTAATGTTGGGTCCAACCAACCACAGACCAAACATCTCTGAAACTGAGCCCAAACAAATCTTTCCTCCTTAAGCTATTTTTCTCAATTATTTTGTCATAGGAATGGAAAGCTGACTAACACAGAAACCTAAATCCAAGGTGAAACTGGCTTTTGCCCAGGAGACTGAAATAAAAATGAGAATCATAACAATAGTAATCATTAAAAGGGAGCTTCATTGTATGGGTATATTGTGCTTCAATTAATGCATCACATTGAAAATAGCATTGGAAAGTAGGTACAATATATTACAGGTTAGAAAAGCTGAAGAAACCATCCTCTCTTGGCTGGAAATTGAATCTTGTCATACTGTGGCACAAGGAGTGAAGCATAGGAATGATTATTTATCTAAATAGGCAGTATCTTCTGAGGTTTCCGTGCTGCTACTAATGCTTATTATCTGCAGCAGTTCTCTTGTCCATCAAGTAGAGAAAGCTAAATGCTAATTAAACTTTGGCTTCACTAGCAAGCCTTCACTGGCTTTTGTTTGTTTTGACTGGAAACATGTATGTAATAAATCCTTATGTCACACAGTACTACTTTTTGATATTTAATTATGCTTCTATGTCCATAAATTCAGGAATTGAGTTCCTATTAGTTTCACAAATTAGACATTAACAAAATTCCACATCCATCTCCAAATGGCCTGCAAAAGTAGTATCTGCTACCTTACTGTTTAGGATAATGGAGACTGTCCATTTCTTCCATTAGGATCATCACCTAAAGGCATCTAGACAAGTCAGAAAGTGTAATTGTGTGTCTGCAGAGAACACTCAGTGCTTCTATAATTAGTGAAAATGGAGTTGTTGACTCAATTTCCTCTTAGGTGATATGCAACATGGTTCGTCTTGCCTCTGTGATTTGTGGAATTATTTTTTATAAAAATATTTGCATAATTTTTATCATGCACTGATCCAAACCCAGACTTCAGGAGAGTAAATATGGATAAATCTACCTTTTTAAACAAACATTTTACTAATGTGGTGGCCAGGGTCAACCTGTATTTTTTTTTTTTTTTGTACCGGGGATCAAACTTGGGACCTTGCCCCCCCCACCTTTGCAAGGTAATAAAAAAATGTGAATGAGGAATTTCCAAATGAACCTTGAGCTCACTGTAACAAAATGCCCCTTTTCGGAGACGCTTTTCTTTCGTTCTTGTGTTTTGTAGAAGGTGAAGTTGACAAGGTTGGCTCTACTTAAAAATGCATCCTCAAGCCATGTAATTCCTCCCTTCTCTGAGCTCCTTCACTAGCCAGGCCCCTAACCTCTCTCAGGCAGCCGAGGCAATGTACTCTACCTTTGCTCCTGCTCCCTTGTCGCCTCTGGCCAGTCCCCCCCCCCGCCCTTCCCCGGCCCGTCACTTGGAGCGTGGGTGCTAGTTTTGAAAGATCAAGACTTCCTTGGAACAGAATCAAAACTGCTTGTGGTGGGTTATGAGAGCTGCCTGATCCAGTCCCCATTTGCTTCTCTGGCTACATCACAGAATCCCTATCTTTCACATGTACCTTTTTTTTGCTTTCTCAAAATCCTCTCTCAAAACCCTGTCTCATGTCTCCATTCCGGTTCTCTCCACACTGTGGGGCTGCTTCTCATTCATTAGGTAACAGCGCGATACCTGCTTCTCAAAGAGAGCGTGCCTTTCTGCTCCTCACACTTGGACACTCTCACTCCCATTATTATTATTTTTATAATTCATCCTGACTTGTTTCTTGCACAGTATGGTGCAATTTGTAATTTGCTTATTATCAAGTGTTTTTTCTCTACCACTCAACCTTGAGCTCTATCAGGTAGAAATCATGTTTATCAATTTATTAGAATATTCTGAGGATTTTACAGAATGAATAAATGAAAATATATTTATGAACTCTGTTGAAGCACACCTTATGGCTCAAAGGACACATGTTGTTTAAAATTTTAATAGAAAGTCATTCAAAAGACTATAGCACCAGTTCACATTGCCACAGTTAATGTAAGAGCATAGCTGTCCCTCCTTTCTGTCTCTCCTTCCCCAAGTTCATTACTGGTAGTTCTTTCCAGCATCTTTTATGAAAAAGTAGTAGTCTTATGAGAAAATATATTTTAGCTCTAATAAGAAATTTCAATGTTATTTAAAGGCTTATAATTTATTAGGCTGCAAGAAATTAAAATACAGTTAAGATTTGAGTATGTCAATTTAGCTAGGTGAGGTGGTACATAATTCCAATACTGTGGGAGGCTGAAGCAGGAGGATTCCAAATTTGAGCCCAGCCTGGGCAATTTAGCAACTTGGTGAGACTGTCTTAAAGTGAAAAATGGGCTGGGGAAGTACTTCAGTGTGAAGGCTCTAAGTTCAATCTCCAGCACACACACACACACACACACACACACACACACACAACACACACCTAAATTTAGAATTTAATTAGTTCTGGTTCTAGGCTAGATCCAGAGGACCTGGCATCCCCCTTGGATTTAACCTCATCTTAGCCTTTCCAACATCTCAAGCGATTCAGTGATATCATATGAGATGTGAGAACCAGATATGCAAAGTTGATATTAAGTTTTTGCATTCCTCACTTACTTTATGTAAGTTATATTTCCACACTTAAAATCTTGCT